AAAACTTTATTAATTTTTACATTCCAATCCCAGTTCCCTCTCCCTTCTCGATTCCCCCATCTCCCCACCTCCTCCCATCTGCTCCACAGAAAGGGTAAGGTCTCCCCTAGGAAGTCTACTAAGTCTGTCCCATCATCTCGTTGAGTCAGGACCAAGGCACCTCTCCATTCACCACATCCCTGTTTCTAGGCTGGCAAGGTATCTCTCCATACAGAATAGGTTCTACTAAGTCAGCTTGTGCATTAGAGTTAGATCTTGGACCCACTCACTGCCAGCGGCCTCATATAGTGTCCCTTGTCACCTATATTAAGGGAGCCTAGTTCTATCTTATGTAGATTCCCCATTTGTCAGACCTGAGTCAGTGATCTAGCTCAAGTCAGCTGATTCTGTGGGTTCCCCCATCATGGTCTTGACTCCTTTGTTCAAATTATCACTCTTCCCTCACTTTGATTGTACTCCAGGAGCTCAGCCCAATGGTTAGTTGTGGATTTCTGCATCTGCTTCCATCTGTTTCTGGAAGAGGGTTCTAGCTTCTCTGGGGTTGGGGATTGTAGGCTGGGTACCTTTTGCTTTATGTTTGGTATCCACTCCTTTGATCCCAGCACTGGAGGTAGAGGCAGGTAGATCGAGACTAACCTGGTCTGTAGAGTGAGTTCCAGGACAGGCTCCAAAGCTAAACAGAGAAACCCTGTCTCAAAACCCCCACCCTCCATCCCCCAAAGAAACATTTCATTTCTTTAAGGAGGCATATTCACACCACAAGGACATTTGTTCAACTATGTTCATAGCAATATTATTTGTAATAGCCATATCTTGGAAACAATCTAGATATCCCTCAACTGAAGAATGGATAGAGAAAATGTAGTATATTTACACAATGGAGTACTACTCAGAGGTAAGAAACAATGACATCCTAAAATTTGCAGGCAAATGGAAAGAACTAGTAAAAACATCTTGTGGTAACCCAAAACTAGAAAGACAAATATAGTATGTTCTCACTCATAAGAGGATACCAGACAATGCATTTTGATCATATTCTCCTCCAAGTTTCCCCTAACTTCTCCAAGATACATACTCCTCCGCCCCCCAGACACTATCAGCTGTCAATAGCACTTGAGCTAGGAGTGGAGACTTGTGAACCCCTTCCCCGCTCCTTGCTGGACTGCTGACTGACTACACTGTGTACAGACAAGCACAGTGGCTTTGAGTTCCCAAGTGGAGTGGCCCTGCAATGCTCAGGTCTTCCCCAACCTCCAGCTCTTACAATCTTTCAGCTCTCTTCAAAATGGTCGATCTTTAAGGAGAGTGTTGGATGTGGCTGGGCACTCCAGACACTTGTTCTCTGTATTTTGACCAGCTGAGTTTCTGCATTAATCCTGTCCACTGAGATTTCTCTGGTAAGGTCCAAGATCTGCACTAATCTATAGCTACAGAGTTGAGAATTTAGAGGGCAGTTTGACACCATCCATTTAACAAAATACTAGTAGTAGGTTTGATGGGGGAAGTCCTTCTGTGTATATGTTTGTCTTATTGGTTGATAAATAAAGCACTGTTGGCCAATAGGAAAGGAAGATAGGTGGGGCTAGAGTCGAGGAGGATTCTGGGAAATGTAGTAAAGACAGGAGTTGCCATGTGACTGCCGTGAAGAGAGGACACTTGCTGCCAGTGTCCTTGGTAAGATTAGTCTTTATAAAATATATAGATTAATGGTTATGGTTGACACTTTAGGACAGAGCTAGCAAATGAGAAATCCTAGTCATTGCCCAGCAGCAATGTAACTAACATAAGACTCTGCGTGTTGTCTGGGGGCCCTAGCATGGTGGCAGGGCTCAGGCGGCTGGTGGAAAGTTATTGTTACAGTAGGTTCATCCCTTTGATTTCAATCCCTGGGCTAACTCTTGGTCAAATTCACAGCACCCTGTTCTTAAATCCAATCAGGAAGTGGTTACCCTCGTATGTGTGTTAGTATTGCACCCATAGTCATATCTTGCCATACCTATCACTATTGTATGTCACAGGGATCACAGCTGGGAAGATTACTGATGTGTTTCCCTCAGCAGCCTGCATAGGACTTTCTATAACTATGAGAAGTAGCCAGAAAGCCTCCTGTACCACCTTGAATTCTCCACATCCTTTGATTGAGTGTGTGGTGTCTTTAGCAACAGCATCTCACCATCTAGTTGTAGTGGGTAACCAAGAGCAATGGCAATAGACTGCACTGTTTAGGGAATATCCAGGACCCTCTGACTAACAACTTGAAGGCAAGGTTCTCACACCTGGTAGCTGGGAAGAACAGTATCCCCTATGTAGGGTAACTCCAAATTCCCTTATATGAATGCGTGCTCGTGTGTGTGTGTGTGTGTGTGTGTGTGGTGTGTGTCTGTGTGTGTGTGTCTGTGTGTGTGTTTATGTGTTGTGTATCTGCCTGTGTTAAGAGAAACTTTATGAAAATATTTGTGTGTGCACAGTGATGTGTGTATGTGGGTACACATGCTCTAGTGTGCCTGGGGAGGTCAGAGGACAACTTTGAGGAGTTGGTTCTCCATCAAACACAAGTTTAACAAATAGCTCAGGTTGCCAAGTAGATCCCCTTTATCTGATAAGCCATCCCACCAGCCTGAAGCATACATTTTTGGTATGTGAATATAATTTAATGTATTTAAAAAGAGAATTAGATAGATATACTTATTGATGAGGTTTTATGAAAAATGCATTTTATTTGTATAATAATTTTTGTTTTGAAACTATACTTACATCATTTCCCCTTCCCTTTTCTTCAACTCCTTCCATGTACTCACTCCTTGCTCTCTCTCAAATTCAGTCTCTTTCCTTTGTTTCTGCATATCAAGTGTGTGTGTGTGTGTGTGTGTGTGTGTGTGTGTGTGTGTGTGTGTGTGCATGTATTCCTACATAACTAAATACAACCTGTTCAGTTCAAGTAATGCTACCTGTATGAACATGATCTCAGGCTAAAAATTCAACGGGCCTGCCTAAAACAATGTTGACATCAATAGACATACTAATACAGAAAAGGGAAAGCCCTCAGGGACTCAATCCTGTGTGGAGGCCAGCAGAGGGTTTTGGATCCCCTGGAGCTAGAGTTACAGGCAGCTATAAGCTGCCCAACAAAAGTTCTGAGAACTGAACTTAGGTCCTCTGGAAGAGCATCAGATTATCCTAACCACTAGCAACCCCATCCCTTGCTTCTTTCTTAATTAGCCATACAAAGTAACAGATACCATTATGGCATTTAAAAAAATATTTATTCTTTGAGAATTTCATTCACAAACAGAAGGTATTTTGGTCATCACCACTCACCACTGTCCTCTCCAACTTCCTTAGGACATCTCCTTACCAACCACATGTCTTTCTTTTCTTCTGTAACTCACCAAGTACAATCAGTGGTGTCCCATGCACATGGGACATGGGCAACCTACCCCTGGTCACACTCCTAAGAGAACAGACTCTTGCCCAGCAGCCACCCGGTGCCTTATGGCATTTTCTCATATGTATTTTACATTGGCTGACCCCTCTCTTGCTCTCCTTCCCCAGGCTCTACACCCCGATACCTGTGCCCTTCCATCACTGGAAGTCCCTTTACAGGTTTCATGTCACATTAACTCTATTAGGCTCTCCCTGCCTCCTGAATCTTCTTCCCATCATGGTGACCTTTCTACCTTTATGCCAATATATGTATACATATGTATACAACTTAAAATTAGGATCCACATATGAAAAAAAAAAACATGTTTTATCTTTCTGAGTCTGGGTTACTTTAATTAATATATTAATTTCCTGACTCATTTGTTTTCCTGCAAATTTCATTTTTCTTTACAGCCAAATAAAATGATGCCTATATATACCACACTGTCCTATCCTTTTGCCTGTTTATGGATATCTAGGCTGATTCAGTTTCCTAGTTTTTATGAATAGAGCAATAATGGCCATTTCTTGAGGAAAGTTTCTACTTCAAAATATTTTAAAGTAAAAAAATATTATCTATGAAAATATAAATAGTTGTATAGGGTATTTGGATAAACTAGAATTTAAAATATTGCTATTAAAAACTGCCCAATAGGAACTTATAAACTTTGAACCAGACAAAAACTATAGCATATGAGAGCTCAGCACCATGAGTGGTCTTAGACATGATAGCTCTCTTGTGACTATTTTCCAAACTAAAAATATGTCATGTATTGTGAATGATGCAATGTTGTCACTTTTTTCTCCCATATAAAGTCTATAATATATAAATACATATTTCTAAGTATGTAAGCAAAAACAGAACACCTTCTCCTATACAGTGAGGGCCATTTTATGAAACCCAGTGCTACCTTTTAGAACAAATGTCAGGGAAGGAATCTGAGTTTCTTCCATTAGCAACTCAAGTAGGAGGAAGAGAAGGGCTGGAAAGAAACAAGAGTGAACTTGACAAAAACAAAATTTCCACATTTTTCAATGTGCACAAAACATATTTTTATGTAATCTACACCGATATTCTAAAACCTGCTTCATTGTTATGTTACTATGGTTACATCAAAGTAGGGGCCAAGATATCTTATGGACAGCCAGAGACAGGTCCTTTCCATTTGTATCTTTTCAGCAGGTAAAACAAACAAACAACTAATACACTTTAATGGTCCTGATGAACTGAATTTTCCTATCCAGTCCTACTTTGTGCTGAATCCTAAAATAAAGAAAACTTGTCAATTACTCATTTAGTAATGTACAAAAAGAAAATAAAGCTTCACTTTTTTTTTTTTTCTGAACAAAAATAAGAGACACTGGGGAAAAAAAGAAAGAAAAAAGACAAGTGATTCCAAGCAAATAGATAGTGATCCAGAATCTACTTACAAGCTGAAATATGTTTTCTACAGGTGTTTATAATACTGTAACTATCTAGTTAACTAACGGCAATGGTAGCTAAATGAAGAGATTAAAAAAGAGAAAACACATTATAATTCTAAAATCAAACATAGCAATGACAATAAAAAACTGAGTACCAGTCCTTGGAGAAATCAGCTTTAATTTAACTCAAAAACCTTTCAGTTTTATAATGTTGATTTGTTTCGAACTGACTTTTTAAAGACTGTTGTTTAACATCAATATTAAAGGAAAAGGTAAGGAAAGACGATGATCCCAAGGTTGGCACAAAATAACCTGCATGTGCACATTCTAAATGAAAACAAAACAAAAGACCTGAATTGGCCTTAAAGACATTTTTACCACCCTGATTTCCAGAAAACTCCAGGTTTCAGGTTCCTGGAATTGTCAAAAGAATACAAAGGTTACCACTTGAATGTGGCTGGAGCAAAACTAAACACACTATGTGTTATCTTCACTATGTAAATCCTAAGTGAATGCATTTTCTAAACCACAGATTGGTCACATAATCTAAACAGGGAAGAAAGTAACCCCCGCAAGAAAGCAGGCAGATGGCAGGGACTGTGCCTAAAACAGGCAGATGTCAGCAGCCCAGTCAGCAGAAACAGGACATGGGTCCAGCCCCACAGACGCCTCTTGTAGTGTGTCTCCAGCTGGCCTGTGGGTCAGGCTACAAGCACAGGATCAGCTCACGAGAAGGGCAAGGAGGAAATAAGCAGAGGACATCCTGTTCAGCTCTGACCACCTCAGGCTCCATCAGAGTGCTGAGTTCTGACCCCTCCAATCCAAAGGCCTCGGACTGAATAGCTGTCAGTGACTATAATGTTCTACCACAGTTGGGAAATACCAAGCTACAGTTCTGTCTAAGAGAGTAACCTCTGAAGTACAATTTAATTAGAGGATATTACCAATTCATAAGATTTCATAAAATAATACAACAAGAGCACTGCCTTAGAAAAAACACACACTAAATTATATTGCCACACACCCCTATACAATAGATATTTACATCTGAGACCTCATTATGCAATTTGGGTTGGCCTGGAACTCTCTACGTAGACCAGACTAATCTCAAATTCAGAGATCTGCCTGCCTCTGCCTCTCAAGGGCAGGTATTAAAGGCATATACCACGATGCCCATTGGAATATTGAAAACCACAATACAAAGTAAGTGACACACAGGTTATTTAAATATATAAATTACTTTTTGAAAAAAAATAGGTAACTCTGCTTTTAAGTTTTAAAAACCCATAACTTAAAAACTATGACTCATATTGATAATATAAAAATATAAGACACTGATTTTTGTTTTATTTCAGGTAGCTAATGTCTTTTCATCATGAACAAAGAAATTGTGCAAATAATTAAACATTATCAGCATCATTTTCAACAAATGTTTCATTAATATTTGTGTTTAAATGCAACAGATAACTGAGCATTCTAAACTTTACAGATTCACTAGCAGTCACTCTTTCGAGCATCCATACACTGCTTCTTCAACAGGATCTGAGGTGGGACTAGCAAGACAGACTACAAGAGCACGTGTATATTTCACCAAGACTTGGTCTGAAGAACTCTGGAATTTAAAAAATAATAAAATTTACTTTTTCATATTATTTTGTAAAATGGCTACAAAGGCTTTATTGTAAGAGGCAACCTCCAAAAGATACCCTATTATACCCATGCAAATGTAAAAAAATAAGGTTTGTGCTGGGTGGTAGTGGCACACGCCTTTAATCCCAGCACTTGCAGGCAGAGGCAGTTGGATCTCTAAGTTTCAGGGCAGCCTGGTCTACAGAGCAAGTTCCAGGGTAGCCAGGGCTACACAGAGAAACTCTCTAGAAAAAAAAAAAGTACTCCAACAAACACACAAACAAAAAATAAGTAAGGGAACGAGGGTTTTTTTCTTTCTTAAGGACTAAGTCAGAGAAATCTTTAAGGCTAAAAGCGGCAGATTGAGGGTTACTGGGAAGTTACACCTCTAACTTAGAACTTCAACTTCTCTAGATTAAAAAAAGGGGGAAAGAGGAAAAGCAATGGATGATTAAAACTGCAACTTTTAATTTATTTGCTTTTTTTTTTTTTTAATATTTCAAGATGGGATCTCACTGTGTACTGCTGGCTGGTCTGGAACTCACAGACATCCCCTCAGTTCTGCCTCCTGAGGGCTGGGATTAAAGGTGTGTGCCACCAGGCCCAGCCGATACAACTAGTTCTAGAATATGTTGTTCAGGTGAGAAGTCTTGACTGTCTCGTCCTATTTTCTTCAGATTTTACAGTTGTCTCACAACCATGATTACTGTGATGACAGCTTCTCATTCAGTTCCAATGTTCTTTTGTCACTGTGAGCTTCAGCATTTTTCACCAACACCTGTGTCAAATCACAGACAGAAGTTCAGGAAGCCATTTCAAAGGGTGACACTAACCACAGCAATGCAGTTTTTCACTTTTGCTGTCATAAACTACTCAACTAAAGCTAACATATAAGCACTGTTTATTATTAAAACTGCCGATATCTTGACTCATATAATTATTAGTTGTTTGTAAAATTAAGGGTTTTGCTTACCTTCCTGTCACCGTAAACCCTGACCGCATATAAGACTGGTCTATATACAACTGTCCTGATGACAGTGGCCTGTTTAAAACCATGGTGTACAATTTAAGCTCTTGGCTTTAGGTTTTGTCAAGAAGCTTTCCATAATTTTCACAAATTCCACAAACTGGAAGGGGCAATTCCACCAACTCATTCAGTTGTTTTGTGCTGTCTTGTCAAACACTGTAAAAAGCTTGGGACTTTGCTCTTTTTGCAAGCTAGGAAGACAGTGTATGGCAATTTCAAGATTCTGCCAGGTAACACAGGACTATCTGGTCAGACAGCTGACTGCCCTGCTAATGGCACAAACACTGACACATTGCTTCCAAGCCCTTTGTCCTCTAAGCCCCTCAGAGGAGTGATGTGGATGGATACATAGTTTCCCACCTGTGCAAGGAGATACATTATGAGAGGAACTTATTTTAGAGGGAGACACTATCTATAGTGGGAAATTGCCAATATGGAGTCAGGTAGAAATATAAGGGTATTTAATAGGGAAAAGCCTTACTTACAAAGCAACCTAGCCAGCCGGCGTGGTAGCAGCCTGTACAGCAAGCAGCAAAGAGAAACCGAAACCACAAACGCAGTCATATTACATCACTCTGACCACACCCTCACAAGCCTGGTCAGGCACACCTGTAGCCAGCCCCTAAGAAGGCGTGGCTACAGCTTCCCCTACAACTATCTGTTTCCCAGGGCTGCTCACTGCAAAAACACCATAAAAAGACTACCTGGAAGAAAGAGCAGTTGGGACCTGATTCACGAGATGTTCAGAATTGCAATGGACATTGATAAATGATCTACAGATTTTGTTAGGTAAGGGTTTTGTATTAGCACCTGTCAGTTATAACCCTCTGTATAGCTCATAAATGACTTTTATATTTGTCATGTTCCTCACAGATGACAGAAAAAATACTACCTTTTAGATAGGCGCCTTAACATTTTACCCTTCTCTTCCACCTAAGAAAGTTCATAAACTACTAAATAGACATATTTGTTAGAATAACTTTTAATCTAAACTTGTCATTTATGGTTCATATACAATTATTTATTTCCTTTAAATGGCTAAGAGAAAATTTATTATGGAGCCAAATATGAATGACCATGCCCAGGGACTTAGATTTAGGTTACCTTAAATTCCATGCCCCAACATGGCTAACAAATTCATGCTATTTTTATAGTAACAGAACAAAGAAAGTCATGAATCAAAACATTTTTAAAACCCACTGATGGGAATATATATTCTATTGACTATTATATGCATGGAGTAGGGTGAATGTGGATACAAGTGTGGATGTTACAAGAAACTCTCAGAAGTTACTTTTTTCCTTCCACAGTGGACTGAAGGGATCTAGGTCAGGCTTTCACAACAAGAGTGATTACCTGATGTGACCTTGCTAGCCCCTCATATGCAATTTCTTAGAACACAGCTCACACTGACATCAATAGAGAAGCTTTCAACCAATGCCCCCACCCTCAGGACTAGACATTAATTTGGATTTTGGACTCCAAATGGTTATTATTCTCAAAGAAAACTTAGTATGGCTTCTGTTGAATCTGCATTTAACTACTTACAAGCACAGCTTTAATACCTTGTTTTTTCATGTCAAAGAGTCTTAGCTTTCAATATTATAAGACCAAGGTGAGAATTTTATAACAAACATATATAAAACACTACCTAACCACACATTAAATCTTCAAACCATGTACGTAACTATTTCTCTACTTTTAGCAGATGCAACATTAATTGTGGTATTTTGGCCAAAGAATTTGATATACATCTTTTAAAATTTCACTAATAAAAGGGTAAGTTTGAAAAGATATCTCTAGTATTTTAAATGAAGTTAGCAGCTTACGTCAATGAGCTCTTGGTCGTTTTTGGCGTAGAGGTGTCTTAAGAGGTACCAACGTGCAGTTGATACAATTGAGTTGGGATAGCCAGGCTGATACACTACTTTCTCCAAGAGTCTCCGTGTCTCTCTAGAAGAAAGACATTTACAATTACTTCAGAGCACTTAAGTTATTATCACGGATTTTAAATATAGTATCATACAGACATTACCTTTCCCATTCATTTGAAAGTCTTACCTGATTAAGATATTTACTTAAAGTATAGTTATTATTTTGTTTAATGTTTACTATGCACAAAGCCCTATGACATTTAGTCATACTTAGGTTTATAACCTTATTGCTATTGTTATTCCTATAACACGCAGATTAAAGTTCAATCAATATACAATGGGGAGAAGATTCCAAACTGTGTGAGCATATCTGGGTGTTTGTCCTGTAATCTTTTTTGACAGTTGCAGGAAAATCAGCCAGGCATGGTAGTGAATGCCTGTACACTAAATTCTGAGAAGGTGAAGGCAGAATGCTCACAGGGTCCAGGTAGCTTGGGCTACACAGTAAGACCCTATCTCAAAAATCCAGAAAATCCACAGGGAGAAAGAAGTTCTTAAACAAGTAACCAAACAACCAAACAACCAATACAGCCATGATATATATGAATAAGAAATATTTATTACCTGTATATTACCTGTGTAAAATCAAGTTTTATAGTTTTCAAGGATATATACAATATGTGAACTCAACTCATATAATTACAACATGATTTACAGTTATGTTCTAATCTTTTTTTTCCTAACTTACTAATAGTTATGACCCTTAAAACTCCTTAGTTGTAGAAATAACATAAAACAACTAATTTCAGAACTGCTAAGTAGAAGGATCCTATAAATAGCAATTAGTTTGAACTGAAGAATTTGCCTTGAAGAAGTCCACGAACAGGATTACATCATAATCACAGTTTCTTCCTATACTGCATATTTAGGGCTAATTTTTGAAAATGATAACAGTAGTGAGAAGCATAGGGTCACATGAAAGCTTGTGTTCTTATGTCACTCAGTGTGAATCTGCAGGAAGGCTCCTTGGGTAGTTTACAGACAGAACACTTCTCAGTGAAACTATACACATGCATGCAAGCATAGAACATCCTCCAGCCAGGTGAATATTATAAATAATGTCAGAATTGCTGAATAGCTGCAGGACCTTAATCCATCCTTGAGTGTTAATTTGGGAGGTCTGGCTTTTTGAGAGGGGCATATTTATAGTTAGTGAGCTCTCTATTTCTATACTACCTATTTTGTATTCAGTGTCATTTATGTTTATCCCTATATCATTGTTTTATTTATGGTTCATTTATTAGAACCATGTGTTATTTTTAAAGTATTTTCTCCTATACATATGACTACTAAGTAATGTTCTTCATATATGTGACTCCCCAACCAAACCTCTAATAATATTACCAAAATTTTTGTTTTAATTCAAACAGCTTTTGACTATTCTAGACATGAAAGCACATATTTACAAATAGGTTTGTTTTTCCAACACTTGTTAATTTTTCCAGTTTGTTAAATTAGCAAAACTTCTATTAATATAACCTTGAGCCAGGGTCAATCTGATTTTGTCTGCTTCTAGAATCTACACTACACGACTGGCTCATTCTAAAATAGAAGAAAAAAAACAAACAAACCCTCAGGGGCATCCCCATGTGAAATGCCGCCATGGCAAACTTGCCATATTTATATCCATGCATCATTTTTGCTAAATAAACATGAAATGTTTTCTTCTGCATTGCAACACAGAATGAAATGTTCCTAAAGTAGAGATATAAGACTACCCCAAAGTTTGCTACATCAGTTTATTTCATTATAAGTCTTCTCTTGGTCATTTCCTAGGAGGCTTTACAGTGAAGTAGGATTTCCAAGCCAAGAACACATTTCATATACCTTGCTCCCATCTTGCGGTTGAATTGTAACAAAGCTTGCAAGAACACAGCCAGAGGACAAAAGCAAACTTTCAAGGCCTCGCTGGTGGCCTCTTGAAGCAAGGATGACCAGTGATCACTGGAAACATTAGCCTAAAAAGTGCAAAATAAACATTAACTCAAAGTTTTGACATGTTCACTTTAAAACACACATAGCTCAGCTCTCACTACGGATTCCCTTCTTGTCCATCATCATATAAATACCAAAGGAGCAAAACTGTAATTACTACAAATGATCTAGGACTAACATGGTACACTGAGATAAGGGAAGACATCAAAAAGAAAACATTTTATCACATGAAAACGTAGTTAAAAGAAAAACACACATTATAGATGAGAACCCTGTTAAGTAGTAATCTTTTCTTTTTTAATTATGGTTGTGGTGGTTTGAATAGGAATGCCCGCCCTCCCCCCATAGGCTCATAGATTTGAATGCTTGGTTAGCAAGTAGGTGGCCTTGTTGGAGGAAGTGTGCCACTGAGGGTGGCCTTTGAGGTTTCAAATGCCCCAGCAGGCCCAGTGTCCCTCTCTCTCTTCCTGCTACCTGCAGATCTAGATGTAGAACTCTCAGCCACCTCTCCAGCACCATGTCTGCCTGCACACCACCTTACATGTGGCCATGATGATAATGGACTAAACCACTGAAACGGTCAGTCAGCCCCAATTAAATGCCTTCTTGTATAAAAGTTGCCCTGCTCATGGCCATAGGGTCTCTTCACAGCAATAGAACAATGACTAAGACAGTGGTAAATGTAAGATGGTGCTTTTCAAAAATCATCTGAAAAGAAAACCTGAAATTTAATAAAACCTCAATATAGAGCATATAAAGCAGATGAGAGAAGAATTGAACCACAGTTATGAATACTGAAAACATTTTTTTTTATAAAACAGGTTTTATAAAAAGTACTGATTCAAAAATAGTAGGAACTGCCTAGGAAACAGTAATTGAAAATAAGTGGTAAGAAAAACTATGTAAGAAGAAAAAAATCCCTAAAACTTTCCCTAGGGCTGTGGCTGTAAGGCACTTGGTAGCATGTTTGACTAGCAGGCATGAACCACTGGGATTCACGCCCAGCACTGCAGAAATGAGACACCATGGCACATGCCTGTAATTTAGCTGGTGGAGATAGGGAGTTTAAAAAGTTCAAAGTAATCCCCAACAACCTAGCCAGCCTGGGCTTCACAAGACTCCACCTCAAAAAACAATCCCAGCAAAACCCCTGTTGCACGGCTCTTAGAATCCTTCTGCCCCACCTTCTAAAATAATCCCTGATCTTTGGGTGTAGGAATTGTGTCTTAGATGAATCAACACTACAGGGTGGTGTCAGGGCCCATTGTTATTGACTCCATTCCATCCTAACTTAAGATCAAAGAGTTCAAAACTATTCTTGCTCCTCAAGGTTAAACAACTGATGTTTGGCCTAAGGTGTGGGTACTGGATGCCTTGACCCTCACAACCAAATTATAGGATGCTTGACTAGGATGTAGTTCCCAGGTGTTTTGGGTATGGGGGGGGTAATTATATTTGTTCCTTGTATCTTGGTAAGGAAGTCTTTTGCCCTCCCCTTTTAATTGGGGTATATAAGAACTATGAGTAATAAACTTGAGGCATCTACAGTATTCACTGAGTGCCCTCCTGACTCCAACTCTTGTTTCTTTTCTCAATGCTCACTCCCCCTTTCAGGCAAGTCTGACGTTGGCTGGACCCGATAGGTGGGAGGTGGGGCATATAAAAGATGATTAAAAGGAAGGGAAGAATTATACAATTATAACCTCAAAATTTAAAATACTAAAAAAAACTAAAACCTCAAATTGTACTAAGACTTCTTAGTTACAAGTATATAGAATATGCATTTTAAAGGTCAATTGTTTTTTCACATTTTAATGTAATCATATTAAAACAAAATACATAGTCCATTTCACTTAATTATAAGAAAAATACTAGAACAATACTCTAAGAATAGTGTAAGCAAGAGTAGTTTGTGTAATCAAGGAAGATCAATGCTTAATGACTATACAAATGGATAATGAAGGTTGTCAGGCATCTTTTGTACATATGAGAGCAGAAATAAAGCATTTTATATATATACATGTGATATATACATATATATAATTATATACTATATAACAGAGAAAAATTACATAATTTTCCTACTTCCCTTTCCTCCCTCCCTCCCACATGCCCCAAGTTCTCTCAAAAATCCATATCCTCTTATTTTTAATTGCTGTTATGTATACATATAATCACAACTACCAGCAAGCTAACCCTTACAACACAGTAGTGGCACACACATCTTGACAGTAACTAGCAGCTCTCTAATTGGACTTAAGGCCTGCTCAACAAGAAGCAAACCTATGCCTCCTCAACAAGAGGCAAACCTATGCCTGGTACTGGAAATTTAGGGACTACTTGGGACTAGTAGTGTGGTGCCAGCAACTTTCCTAAGTCAGTACAACCCCTACATTATAAATAGTTTTGCTTACACTCACAGAGAGTTTAGTTCTTACCCCTTCATCAAAGAAACTTCTCTTTACAACAGATGGATACCATTGCAGAAAACCCCAAGAGATCTAACTGCAGAGAACAAGGGACTGTGTAGTTCCTAGCCCCATAGATATATCTATAAAACAATGACCCGTGTCCTTTTACAAACTAGTAACATGAGCTAGGGAGATGAATCTGTGGAGAAGGTATTTGTTGTGCAACTGTGAGGACCTGAGCTCAAATCTCTGGCACCAAGTTAATGCTTGGGTTGCAGATGAGGTAGAGCATGAAGGCAGAGACAGGGGAGGAGGAGGTCAAGCTGGACTAATGGATTGGTGCTTCCTGGCTTTAATTACAATAGATAAGGTGGATAAAGACTGAGGAAGAAACTCAGCACTGACTTCTGACCTCCATATACGCGTGCACACATCTACTCTCACACACCACACACACTAATATGAAAACTCTCACTAGTAATTTTAAAAATATACTCTCTAAATTCTAAGAAATCAAATCTTACTTCTACCCATACTCAACAACATAATCAGAACGTACTTTTGGTTTCATTTCCCCAGCTCTTCAAAATTTATTTTTGAGCTAAAAGCAGTGTTTCACACCTTTAATCCCAGCACTTGAAGCAGAGGTTGGTGGATCTCTGAATTCAACGCCAGCCTGGGTTACATAGCAAATTCAAGGCCAGCCAGGGCTACATAGTGAGACCCTGTCCCAAACAAACAAAACAATATAATGATAATACTTACTATAGACTTTTTTCTTTGTTTTCTGTATATAAATAATAAGGAGGAAGAGAAGATCTATCAAGGAAGGGGAAATAGAATACATAAGTAGGGAGAAACAAGGGGGACACTGGAGCAGGGGGATGGAATAAAGGAATAAGGGAGAGAATAAGGAAAGGGACAGCTAACACATCACTGGAGAGATCATATAGAAACCTACTACTGTAAAAGCATCCTAAAAATATACACGTATGAAAGAAATCTAAATGGAATCAGCAAATAATAGGTGAGATAATGCCTCAACTAGACATCTTCTGCTACCAAGAAAAAACCTCCACTGCTAGGATTGGGTTACATTTAGTAGAGTCCTGGGCCAAAAGGGTGGCATGGAAACCCTCAAATATCTCAGGATATTGACAAACTGAGAGTAAAGCCCTACTGGTGAAAATAGCAGGCACCTATCTCATTGAGCACAGAGAAGTTGAGCTGTTGCCTAACTAGAGCCTTCACCCCTACCAACTAGAGTACATGGTACCTGAAGGTACACTGCACTAGCAAAGAGAGGTAAAAACCACCTGCTACAGGTCCTGAGCTCTACAATGGTAGCCTGCCTGAATGACATCCTGATGCAATAATGGCACAAACCTGAGAGTAATCAACCACCGTCTGATTGAAATTAAGGTCCATTCTATGAGATGAACTGCTCAGGTGGGCAAGGACTAAGATTAGATAGGTCGTGGGCGTAGGAGAAAACAAATACTATTGTTTTGCTAAAGGACAGCAATAAAATGACTCCTAATGACATTTTGATACACCCATAGATCTGGGCCTCATTCAGCCATATCAGAGAAGCCTCCTCTTGCAGCAAATAGGAACTAACATAAAGATCCACAACTGGACAATGTACAGAGAGTGAGACTTTGGAGCACTCCGTCCTAATGGCTTCATCCAACTGCCCTTCCTATCCCCAGGGCTCAGGGAATATGTGGAAGAAGACAGCAAAAAATTATGAGAGCCAGAGGGGATGGATGACTCAAAAACAAAACAAAACAAAACAACAACAGCATCTTCCATATACCCATATACAATAAGACCAACACACATATATAAACTCATAGAGACTGCGTGGCACAGGGACTGCATAGCATCAAACTTAATGGGAAAGTAGACATGAGCTCCCCTCCCTAGCCCAGCAGCTATCTCCAATTGACATCTGCTTGCTAAGGAAACTTTAGTTTATTCCAATAGAGAAAATTCACTAGGTACATTAATCATACTTCAGAACTCACTGTTACATTAACCACACTCCAGAGTAAGCTCAGCAATAGGACCAACATACGAACTCAATGGTATTTTCAGACTTTTGTCTCATATTTGTTTGGGAATTTCTGTCTTACTGATCTTTTGTTTGTATATTATAGTCTCCAATTTTGTGTTTTCATGGGGTTTTATTTGTATATGTGTTGTGGCTATGTGTTTCAAGTGCTTTGTGTTTTAATTCTGTTTTATTTTCCATATCTGTTTATTTTCTAAAGAGAGAGAGAGAGAAAGGCATGAAATTGGGTGGGTGGGTGGGTGTAAGAGAGAGAGGGAAGCATGAAATGGGGTGGGGGTGTGGGTGTAAAAGATTTGGGAGGAGCTGGAAGAAGGAACTGTACTCAGAATATATTACATGAAAAACATTATTAGAAAACTATAATAATAATATTAATGAAATTTATTATAGACTTTTTGTCCAAATATAAATTATGGTAGGACTTGTGACTCACGTCATCTTGTACACATTCATTTACTATCTCAATAAAGTATATTCTATTTATCAAATAGTTCATTTTCTGTGCAAGGACATTATCCAGTCTCTCAAAACCCTCTTATCTTCATGGTAAGGCTGAGGTCCAGCAAGGCCATGATGGCATGTTGTTTCTCCCTGGATTGCCTTGCTAATGGTATCTGTGTAGACGATATTTTCTTTGTGCCATAAACCAGCTCACAAATAAAGACATGGACACTTATTATTAACTATGAATGCTCGGCCTTAGTTTAGCCTTGGGGATTTTTACCTTCTTTCATTCTGTATGCACAATTTCCTGTGTGTCTGGCCCCTGGTGTTTGTTTCCCTATTGTCTCATTTTCTTTCTTTTCCAAGTCTAAATTCCTCCTCCTACTTTTTTTCCTGACAGGAAGTTACACCCATACCTCCTATGTTGATATTGGCTGTTCAGCTTTTTATTAGCCCAACCAGCTGTCTAAGGCAGGCAAGGCAAAACAGCAACACATCTTTACATAGTTAAAAAAAAAAATGCAACACATCTTTGCATAGTTAAACAAATATTGCACAACATCCAGGCCCTTAGTAAATTTCTGGAAGGTTACACTTGGTTAGTATTATAGTACAAAATGGCAGGCTCTCTAGGCCTGAGCTGTTTTCCTCAGGCTACCTTTCTCAGACTTTCAACTTCAGGAGTAGGTGCCATTTGCAGCTCTAGCCACACAAACCACAGGTCTCAGCACAAAAATGAAAGTGTTTAGAAATTATTAAAAATATGAAGATGGCAAGTGCAGAGCATTAAATCCAGTGTGGAACCCTGTGTGGTGGCATGGGACTCATGTCCATTAGCACATCCCTGCAGATGCTTTTCTCTCATGATAGGGCTAAATCCTAACAAACACATTGCAAGCTGATAATATCATATACACCAAATACACAAGTGCTCAAATAGGATCACATCATATAAATTGTTCTACAGTTGACTTCATTCTCACGTACATTCTATCTTTAAAATTTTTTCATATTGGCACATAAAAATTTTTGGGTTAATCTATGTATTGGCATCAGAAAATAGGGTATCAAGTCACAGAGACCTCTAGAAATACCTTGAGGAATGTTAAATTGAAATAAGAAAAAAAAAAGTTAAATTCTGGCATAATAACAGACTTTGAATTCTTAAGTTACCAAGAATACACTTGATATAACTCAACTCTTAAAATTACACTCTTTTGTAGGGGAAGCTGTGGCCCACTATACTCTTTGATTGTTCCTAAACAATTAAGAAATTCTGTTGAAGTTTGTGAGTTGCTGTTGTTCTACATTCCTTCAGAGCTCAAAGTACAAAGTCCACAAGAAACCACAGATAATGAAACAATGGGGAAAAGGGCACAGAGTATCACTGCATGAAATGTTACATACTTAAACAGGAAGGAATCAAGTTTTCATGATCATAATTATAACATGCTTACCATGCACACTTCCAATGCAAGCAGTGCGAGCTTCAACAGACTCGAGAGCTTCCCACTCCAATTGCCCTGTTGGGATGCCACTTGTAGACTCTTTCTGTAACACATCTCTGCAGCACCCATCATTCCTTGGGACTGATACACCTGTGCCAACCACTAAGGGACAAATGCAGAACATTTGAGTTTCCTACAGTCTGGTTCCCCACTCCCAAGAAATTCAATCAACTCTAATGGGTTAATTTTTAACTCAATTATTGGTATTCTTTGTGCCCCTCAAAACAATGAGAGTAATCACATTGGTTATTCTGCCAGCAATAACTTCCTAGCCATATCAAGCTGAAGTCTAAAGAGTCTCCAAAGTTGACAAATCAAGAATATTACATTACAATGCAAAAACTATTGAATAAATGACATGAATACTAATAAAAAGCAAGTTTATTCAGCTGTAGTACTATCTAACAATATAGCCTTTAAGCCAAAACAGCAAGACATGAAGTTGATACTGTAACAGCACTCCTTCCACATAAGCATTGCTACATGTGCAAATCCCCAACAATATAGAACTCACTAGAAAAGGCAGACAGAAACAAGTTCTGAGTGACAGGCCATTTTAACATGCCTAATTCAACAGTCATATTAGGAAATAGAAAAAATAAAAATTCAATAAAGAGACAAAAGATACGAGCAATGACAAGTTTGGTTTATACCACCTTCTTAAAAGATGTAATCGCGCTGACTCATCGCAGACCAGGTGAGCCACCCCCTGCTTTTACCCAATTCTTGTCCTAAGCGCCATTCACCCAGATCCCTCCAGGCTTGTCCCTGCTTGAAACAGACACGCCCAGGCAGGGAGGAGCTCCCTGAATCTGGGTACAGGCCACTCTTCATTCCATTCTCGGCGACCGATCCGCCAGGAGGCCTAACTCCTTCAGAGTGAGGAGGGTACGAGGAGAGGCAAGACCATCCAGAGCTTCGGACATTGAATTCCTGGCCCACACACACTACAGAGTAACAAGAGGAGATAGAGAGATCCTACCTGCACTCACTGGAAAAAGATATGGGAAGAAGACAGAATAAGAACTCGCTCAACAACAGAAAGACCAAGATGACACCACCAGAATCTAAGGACTCCACTCCAGCAAGACCTGAAAAGCCCAACATAGCACAAGAAGAAGAGATGGACCTCAAAAATTATCTAAGCAAGATGATAGAGACCTTCAAAGAGGAAACAAGAAAATACCTTAAAGAAATAGAAGAAAAAGCAAGCAAAAAATTACATGAAATGGAGGAAAAGACAAACCAAAAAATTCAAGAAATAAACAAATCTCTTAAAGAAGCTAAAGAAACCCAAGATAAAACAACCAAACAAGTGAAGGAAGCTCTTGAAACAGTGCAAAGCATGAAATCTGAATTAGACACATTAAAGAAAACACAGAATGAAGCGATGCTGGAAATGGAAAGGTTGGATAAACGATCAGGATCTAAAGATGTGAGTATAACTAATAGAATCCAAGAGACAGAAGAGAGAATCTCAGCTATTGAAGACTCGCTAGAGGATATACATTCATCAACCAAAGAAAACCTCAAGACCAACAAATCCCTAACACAAAATATACAGGAAATATGGGACACCGTGAAAAGACCAAACCTAAGAATAATAGGTGTAGAAGAAGGTGAAGAAACACTGCTCAAAGGTACAGAAAACATATTCAACAAAATCATAGAAGAAAACTTCCCCAACCTACAGAAAGATATGCCTATGAAAGTACAAGAAGCTTATAGGACACCAAACAGACTGGGCCACAAAAAGAATTCCCCCCGACACATAATAATCAAAACTCCAAATCTACAGAATAAAGAAAAAATATTAAGAGCTGCAAAGGAAAAAGGCCAAGTAACATATAAAGGCAAACCAATCAGAATCACACCCGACTTCTCAATGGAAACTATGAAAGCCAGAAGGTCTTGGATAGATACACTACAAGCACTAAGGGAGCATGGATGTCAACCCAGACTACTGTACCCAGCAAAACTTTCAATCACTATAGATGGAGAAAACAAGATTTTCCATGACAAAAACAGATTTAAACAATACATATCCACAAATCCAGCACTACAGAAGGTTCTGGAAGGAAAACTCCAACCCAAGGAACATAACTACATGCACAAAAACACAGGCAATAGATAATCTAATATTGCCAAACACAAAAAGAAGCAGGAGAGCAAAATCCACACACAATGACACCACCAACAATAAATCCAAACCAAACAAGAACCAACGAACAATGGACATTAATATCCCTAAATGTCAATGGCCTTAACTTACCCGTAAAAAGATATAGGCTAACAGAATGGATACGAAGACAGAATCCATCTTTCTGCTGTTTACAAGAAACACACCTCAACTTCAAAGACAGGCGATACCTCAGAGTAAAAGGATGGGAAAAGATTTTCCAATCAAATGGCCTCAAGAAACAAGCAGGTGTAGCAATCCTAATATCTAACAAAATGGACTTTAAACTAAAATCAATCAAAAGAGATGAAGAAGGGCATTTCATACTCATCACAGGAAAAGTCCATCAAGATGAAATCTCAATCCTGAACATCTATGCTCCAAATACGAAGGCACCCACATTTGTGAAAGAAACATTACTAAAGCTCAAACCACACATAAAACCACACACACTTATAGTAGGAGACTTCAACACCCCCCTTACACCACTAGACAGGACCACCAGACAAAAACTTAACAAAGAAACAGAGGATCTGAAAGAAGTCATGGCCCAACTGGGGTTAACGGATATCTATAGAGCATTCCATCCAAACTCAAAAGAATATACCTTCTTCTCAGCACCACATGGCACCTTCTCCAAAATTGACCACATAGTAGGCAACAAAGCAAACCTCCACAATTACAAAAGAATTGAAATAACCCCCTGTATCTTATCAGACCACCATGCATTAAAGCTAGAATTCAGCAACAATACAAATGGCAGGAAACCTGCAAACTTTTGGAAAATGAATAACACCCAATTGCACCATTCCTGGGTTGAGGAAGAAATAAAAAAACAAATTAAAGACTTCCTAGATTCTAATGAAAATGCAGACACAACATACCCAAACTTATGGGACACTCTGAAAGCAGTCCTAAGAGGGAAGTTCATAGCACTAAGTGCCCACATGAAGAAACTAGAAAAAAGTCACATTAGAGAACTGACAGAACAACTGAAAACACTAGAGCAAAAAGAAGCAAACTCACCAAGGAGGAGTAGACGCCAGGAAATAATCAACCTGAGAGCTGAAATCAATAAAGTAGAAACTAGGAAAACATTACAAAGAATCAATGAAACAAAGAGTTGGTTCTTTGAGAAGATCAACAAGATAGACAAACCTCTAGCCAAACTAACCAAAAGGCAGAGAGAGAGCACACTAATTAACAAAATCAGAAACGAAAAGGGGGATATAACAACGGACACTGTGGAAATCCAGAGAATCTTTAGGTCATACTTTGAAAATCTGTACTCCACAAAATTCGAAAATCTAATGGAAATGGACAGTTTCCTGGATAAATATCACTTACCAAAATTAAATCAAGATCAGATAAACAATTTAAATCGACCCATAACCCCTAATGAAATAGAAGCAGTCATCAAAAGCCTCCCAACCAAAAAAAGCCCAGGACCAGATGGCTTCACTGCAGAATTCTACCAGAAATTCAAACAAGAGCTGATACCAATACTCCTCAAACTGTTCCGCACAATAGAAGCAGATGGGATATTGCCAAACTCCTTCTATGAGGCTACAATCACTTTGATACCCAAGCCACACAAAGATAAGAATAAGAAAGAGAACTACAGACCAATATCTCTCATGAACATTGATGCTAAAATACTCAATAAAATATTGGCTAATCGAATCCAAGAACATATCAGAAAAATCATCCACCACGATCAAGTGGGCTTCATCCCAGGGATGCAAGGATGGTTCAATATACGAAAAACCATCAATGTAATCCACCATATAAACAAACTGAAAAAGAAAAACCACATGATCATCTCACTAGATGCTGAAAAGGCCTTTGACAAAATCCAACATCCCTTCATGATAAAGATCTTGGAGAGAACAGGAATAACAGGAACATATCTAAACATGATAAATGCGATATACACCAAACCAATAGCCAACATCAAACTAAATGGAGAGAAACTCAAAGCATTTCCTCTAAAATCAGGAACAAGACAAGGATGTCCACTCTCTCCATATCTCTTCAATATTGTTCTTGAAGTTCTAGCTAGAGCAATAAGACAAGATCAGGATATCAAAGGGATACAAATTGGAAAGGACGAAGTCAAACTTTCACTATTTGCAGATGACATGATAGTCTACATAAGTGACCCGAAAAACTCTACCAGGAAACTCCTACAGCTGATAAACACCTTCAGCAAGGTAGCAGGATACAAAATTAACTTAAATAAATCTGTAGCCCTACTGTATACAGATGATAAACTCAATGAGAAAGAAATCATGGAAACATCACCTTTCACAATATCCACAAGCAACATTAAATATCTGGGGGTAACACTAACCAAAAAAGTGAAAGACCTGTACAATAAGAACTTTGAGACTTTAAAGAAAGAAATTAAAGAAGATACCAGAAAGTGGAAAGATCTCCCGTGCTCTTGGATAGGCAGAATTAACATAGTTGCTAAATCTATACAATGGAAAAAAGATAGCATTTTCAACAAATGGTGCTGGTATAATTGGATTCGGACATGCAGAAAATTGCAGATTGATCCATACCTATCACCATGAATGAAACTTAAGTGCAAATGGATCAAAGATCTCAGCATTAATCCAGCCACACTGAATCTTCTAGAAGAGAAAGTGGGAATTACCCTTGAACAAACTGGCACAGGAGACCACTTCCTGCACATTACGCCAGTAGCACAGACACTGAGGTCTGCAATTAATAAATGGGACCTCCTGAAACTGAGAAGCTTCTGTAAGGCAAAGGACACAGTCAGTTAAGACAAAACGACCACCCACAGAATGGGAAAAGATCTCTACCAGCCCCACATCTGACAGAGGACTGATTTCCAAAATATATAAGGAGCTCAAGAAGCTAGCCACCAAAACACCAAACAATGAAATTAAAA